AGGGTGAATGGGGAGTTAGTGTTTAATGGTTACAGAGTTTCAGTTTTGCAAGATGAAAAAATTCTGGAGGTGGCTGGTGATGATGGTTGTGTAACTACGTGAATATAGTTAATGTCATTCAACTGTACATTTAAAAATGGCTAGTTTTGTTATGTGAATTTTACCACAACTTAAAAAATAATAAAATAAAGAAATGAAGTGGCAAAATTAATATCAGTCTTACAATTGTGACAGCTCCTTCAGATCCTTAAATACATGCGGTGGAAGATTTTCAATCTTATTACTTCCTAAATCCCTGGGGAAATAATTGCAAACATGTCATATTATTTTCTTAAGACTTTATTCATTGTTCTGAAATTCATTAGGAAACCATTATACAACTTTTAAATCATGTAATTGGTGAGTTATATTGATCACCAGAAGTCTAAAAGTTTTTAAAAAAGGAGTAAAAATGGGAAAATATAAAACTGTTTTATCCCATTTTATCACTCCTTTGGAGACAAATACTTGATGGTATTTGATCTGGTTTTAATTGATCCAGTTTTCTAATTCTAACTAATGTATGTATTGTACCTATTCTTCCCTTCCTTTTCCTTCCTTCTCTCTCTCTCTCTCTCTCTTTTGTATTAGACTAGGAATATGATTTGGAACCTTAATTTTTTCTTTTGCTTGGGACTATTAAATGGAAGTGTATTATTTCAAGTGCAAGTTTCTTTCACAGCTGATATACAACAGGGTGTCATATTCTCCTGGGGCAGGATACTTAGAGTGTCATCTCATGTATGTGTAGAGGGTCTGCCTAACATGATACGACCTTGTAGCTTAGTTCTAAGAAGGTTTTTATAGCAGCAGTCCTCGTGGTAGCTTCGACAGTGTCGGCTCTCATATTCTTCTATAAAAGATTGTAAGTTTCAATAGGCTTGAACTCTCCAAGGTGATCAAGAGGTACTAAGAGAAAGCCTAACCGCTTCCCCTGTCCATCTCCAAATACTATTAGTTATCACTGGGATGTGTACGAGAACACATGTATTTGTTACATATGTTGGTTTGCTTATAAGTCAATAGGATTATTTGACTTTAAAGGGCAGGATACTTTTAGATTGAGTTTTCAAAACTAAAAATAAATGGCTACTATAATCTGATAAATAGTATAAATGTCTTTGCTGTAAAGTCAATCTTGAGACTAGGTTTGTTGTTTCAACATTTATGGGTGAAGATAGATTGTTTTGATTTGACAACTGAAGAAATCGTTCTAAAATTTCAACCCTTTCATAAAATCCTTCAATAGCACATGTTGCCTAGAAGATGAAATGAAAACCATTTAGTGTGACACAAAGAGCCTTTAAATATCTAATTATCTTGCCTCTGACTATTTGTCTTTCTAGTCTTGTTTCCTAACACTTTCTACTCAGAGTAACTTTCACC